AAAAAAAAAAAAAAAAGGTCTCAAATGATGACCTCAGTTTCGATATAAAGAAAACAGAAATGAAAATTCAGTTAAATTCAAACTAAGTAAGAGAAAGAAAATCACAAAACTCAGAATAGAAATTAAAGAAATAGAAAAAGAAAAATGTTAGAGTAGAATTAACTCTAACACTGGTTAGTAGAAACTAACAATTAACTTTGGTTAGTAGAAGCCAAAGGCTAGTTCTTTGAGAAGATCAATTGTGTTGATAAACCTCTAAGCACAGAGATCAAGAAAAACAGACATACATCATCAGTATCAAGTCTGAGAGAGGTGCTATCACCATGGGTTTTTTAGATATTAAGAAGAAAATAATGACATATTATTTTTAAAGAATCTCTATGACCCTAATTTGGACAATTTAGATTAAAGAAAGCAAATCTTTGAAGGATAGAAACTACCAGACCCTACTCAAGAGGAAATAAATCTGAACAGCCCTATATCTATTAAAGAAGTTGAGTTTGTAAATAAATATTTTCCCTCCAGTAGCATAAAAGGATCAGAGGTTTTGCTAGTGAATTCTGCCAAATATTTATGGGAGAAATAATAGCCACTTAACACAAACTTTTCCAGAAAATTTAAAATAAGATAATACTTCTCACTTCATTCTGTGAGGCTAGAATGCCCTGATACTAAAATGAGATAAAGACAAAATAAGAAAAGAAAACTAAAGACAATATTTCTCATAAGAATTAGTACAAAATGGAGGGAGGGGCAAGATGGCTGACAGGTACCAGCCTCCAACAGAGGCTCCCGTCCAGAGGGAAGGATAAAGTCCAGAAAATACCCAACAAACTTGAACACTAGGAGCCCAGCTGAGAGAGAAGAGTGATATCTGCAGGACACCTCTGCTGAGGCAAGTTGAAACTCCTAGAAAGCAATCTACAGGTACATAATACATCCCAAAGGAAGGCTATCTGTCCCCTCCCCCAAGAAAGTTGTGTTTTTCTCTTTGTTTTCTCTTCATCTGCTCCTGTGAGTTTCCTACTGACGAGCAGTGAACTGAGGACTTATTGTCTCACCTCACGTGTCAGAGCTATAGAAAGTGGGGACTACTCGCCACTACTCCCCTGCTGATACTCCCTCTCACCAGGCAGAAAACCTAATGTTTTGCTGACATTTTGAATTCCCAGTCCACCCTTCCCCCCTTGCCTGCAGAGACAGTAAGAAGAGGCCCAAGAGCAGCATCCCCCTACCACTGCAGGACCAAGTGCCCTGTCCCAGCCCTGCAGCCAAAGAACTGCTTTAGCTACATGTTTCCCACACAGCTGGTGTTCTGCTGTTGCTCAGGGCACTCAAGCAGGGTGAGCAGACCCATTGACCTGTGCATTCCTGGCACCCCAGGCCCAGTGGCCCAAGAACTGCAAGGGGTCGGTCAGTTGAGAGGGAACCACACTGCAATGGTGGTACCCAGAGGCAAAGAGCAGCAGCCACAAGAGCTAGAACAATAAGGCTCACACCCCTGAGGCTTTTCCGGACAGACACACCCTATCTCTCCAGGCAACCAGAGGAAGCCAGCATCTCCTCCAGTGGCAGCCATTGGCTAAATGGTTTTGGAACAGTCTCCAAATGGTGCAAATTCAGGATGGGGCAGAATCAGTGGAAAAACTCTAGTAACCTGAATAACCAGAGTAGATCAACTCCCCCAAGGAAGGAGGGGGCAGTTGCAATTGAAGATCTCATCCATAAACAGATGGCTGAGATGATAAAAATTGAGTTCAGAATCTGGATAGCAAATAAGATTAACAGGATAGAGGAAAGGAGGGAATTACAATTTCAAACTATTCAAGAATAGTCTCAAGAATTCAATGATTTCAAAGATAAAATGACCGAGGATTTTGAAACACTGAGGCAAGAAGTTGCAGCCCTCAAAGATCTGAAAAAGACAGCAGAATCCCTCGGAAACAGAATGGAGCAGGCAAAAGAAAGGATCTCTGACATTGAAGACAAAGTGTCTGAACTTGCCCAAGTGCTCAAGGATGAAGAGAAATGGAGAGCAAAAACAGATCACTCTCTCAGAGAGCTCTGTGATAATTCAAAGAAAACTAATATTTATCTTATAGCAATCCCTGAAGGTGACAAAGTTGCTTCACAAAACACAGAGGCACTTCTTCATGAAATTATGAAACAGAACTTTCCAGATATGCCAGGAGATTCTGATATTCAGATAGCAGACAATTTCAGAACCCCAGTACAACTCAACCTGAACAAGACATCCCCCAGACACATCATAATTAACTTCACTA